GGGCACCAAACCCAGAGACATCCCCAAACCCGGAAAGGGGTGATTCCCCAAACCCGGAGACAGACATCCCCCGATGAAAAAAGGGTCAACACTAGGCCACTCAGAAGGTGGGATCACTCGGGGTTTATCCAACCACTTCTGTGGTTTTCCCATGGTCCATTAGCAGAGGTCATGCGAACCTTTCATTTCCAATTGGGCAACTGAGTTTCAATAGGGTAGGCCTAACTCCATGGTCTGAAAAACAACCGGCTTTCCAGAGTTGATATCAGGATTCAATGATCACTTTATTGCTTTTGGGTTCAGAACAAATCCACAAATCGATTTTAATTGAAAAAAAAAACATCCCCCCCGCCAACAGTCACCCAAAATCCATGTTGACCCCATACCAAATGCCAACAAATTTGAAAACCATCCCCAGCCCTGAAACTGCAGATTCTTTATTAAACCGTGTTTAAAACTGAGAAAACAACAATCAGGACAAGGGTACTCCTCACGGACCCCACTGAACCACAACAATGGCATTCTTTAGGGGGACCACATTAGTTGCAAGCCCCCCGCCCCCTCCAGAAAATCAACTGTTAGTTGCCTTACTCAAAAGCATTCCTCTTTTAATTGGTGGCCCACTTACTTAAAAGCATTCCCCGTGGCCCACTTGCTTAAACGCATTCCCCTTTTAATGGTTGCTCAAACACAAAACCCAAAGCCAGCTGAAGCCTCTGGAATTTGAAAACCATCCCCCGCCCTGAAACTGCAAATTCTTTAGTAAAACATATTTAGAAAATGAAAAAAACACAATCAGGACATGGGTACCCCTCACAGACCCCACTGAACCACAACAATGGCATTCTTTAGGGGGACCACATTAGTTGCAAGCCCCCAGCCCCCTCCAGAAAATAAACTGTCAGTTGCTTTACTCAAGCGCATTCCCCTTTAAATTGGAGGCCCACTTACTTAAAAGCACTCCCCTTTCAATTGGTCGCCCTCTTGCTCAACAGCATTCCCCTTTTAATTGGTTGCTCAAACAGAAACCTCTGAAATTTGAAAACCATCCCCAGCCCTGAAACTGCAAACTCTGTATTAAACCGTGTTAACAAATGCCAAACAACAATCAGGACAAGGGTACCCTTCACAGACCCCACTGAACCACAATAATGTCATCCTTTCGGGGACCACATTAGTTGCAAGCCCCCAGCCCCCCCTCTCAGAAAATAAACTATCAGTTGCTTTACTCAAAAGCATTCCCCTTTCAATTGATGGCCCACTTGCTTAAAAGCACTCCCCTTTCAATTGGTCGCCCACTTGCTTAAAAGCATTCCCCTTTTAATTGGTTGCTCAAACACAAAACCCAACGCCAGCTGAACCATCTGAAATTTGAAAGCCATCCCCAGCCGAGAAACTGCAAATTCTTTGTTAAACAGTGTTTAAAAAATGAAAAAACAACAAACAATCAGGACAAGGGTACCCCTCACAGACCCCACTGAACCACAACAATGGCATTCTTTAGGGGGCCACATTAGTTGCAACCCCCCCGCCCCCTCCAGAAAATAAACGGTCAGTTGCTTTACTCAAAAGCATTCCCCTTTCAATTGGAGGCCCACTTACTTAAAAGCATTCCCCTTTCAATTGGTCGCCTACTTGCTTAAAAGCATTCCCCATTCAATTGGTTGCTCAACCACAGAACCCAAAACCAGCTGAAACCTCTGAAATTTGAAAACCATCCCCAGCCCTGAAACTGCAAACTCTTTATTAAACCGTGTTAAAAAAATGCCAAACAACAATCAGGACAAGGGTACCCTTCACAGACCCCACTGAACCACAACAATGTCATCCTTTCGGGGACCACATTAGTTGCAAGCCCCCAGCCCCCCCTCTCAGAAAATAAACTATCAGTTGCTTTACTCAAAAGCATTCCCCTTTCAATTGATGGACCACTTGCTTAAAAGCATCCCCTTTCAATTGGTGGCCCACTTGCTTAAATGCATCCCCTTTCAATTGGTGGCCCACTTGCTTAAAAGCATTCCCCTTTCAATTGGTTTCTTTCTAGCTCAAGCCCTCCCTGGCTGAAAGGCACACCCATTGAATGGCCACTAACGTAATTAGTATTCCAAAAAGTATGCTCAGGAAGAAGTGGTTGCTAGAGTAGTCTTCCAAAAAGCATGCGTGGTTGCAATACAAAAGTAGAATTGCAAGAAGGAAGTGGCTGCAATACTGAAGTAGAATTGGGCCCTAAAATCCTCCATTGTTTGGACGTTCCAAAATTTGAGTCTACTTTTTTCCAGCGCCTCCATTGTTGAGGGGGCCTTTATTAGTCAAGTGCCAACATTATGCATTTGTCCACGCACCTATTCAGGCATTGTATTGAAATGTTATGATGCGAGTTACGTGGCTTAAGGCATTTTAACTCGTTTTAACACATTTTTTTTTAAACGGGTTTTAGCGTTTTAACTGTTTAACTCTAGGCCTCGTTATACATCAGGAGGACGAAAGTTTATGCCTCTTGCTGGTTTCTGCGAAGCCGTATGGATCGCCTGCGGGTCGAATTTCCGATTCGGTTTTGTATGGCAGGAGTGGGACGGTCAATTATCACCCTCCTTTAAATTTAAAATACTTTAAAGGTTTTGGAGTGTGAAAATTCCACCACGAGTGACCCAGCATCAGCTTGCAGGATTCTAGGGGGAAAGGGTTGTGTTGAGAGGCGCAACTTTTGTCTTGGCAGTGTAGAGGCCTTCGGGGGCTCATTTTAACGCATTTTATCGCGCTGTGACTTTGCACTTTGGCCTGCGCTTCTTTCGACATGCCATTTTTGTCATATCTTCTTGTTTGCCGTGGCTGGCACCCACCAGTGTTGCAGTGGGAAACTTGTCTGGAAAGTGGTTTAGAGTCAAGCGTGGCTGTCTTCATGGGAAAAGTACAAAGTCTGGCTTCCCAATCGTGCGGTTTTTGGATGATCAACGAATACTCATGTCTCTATCTTTGCTCTGACCACAGGCCGGGAGAGAGCACTTGACTTTGGATCCATCAACCTGCGGCCTTTATATTCAGGCCTTGGGCCCCTCTGAGCTATCTAGTTCCGAGACCTTATTTTTCCAGGTCTTGACTAGAGGTGCCTCCCAGCGCAGGTCTCGAACAGAAAGCCTTCAGCGGGGAAGACTAGAATAGACCACCATGGAGGTTGGTTTGGGGGGTGATGTGTCTACCGGGTTGTCGCAGCAGTGTTATGAAGTGGTCCCCGATCGCTTCGGTCGCTTCGGTCGCTTCGGTCGCATCTAAGGAAGACATCCAGCCCTTGAGCATCACCTCTAACCGTCGGCGGCTGGCGGGGGCCAAGCGCACGTAGCAGTAGCAAAATGCGGCCGTTTGCGGGCCTGCTGGAGGGGCTGGCGGGCTGACAACATGTCGACCAATTTGTTGGGGGAAGCATGTTGGGAAATATAGGGGCCGCTGCAAATTGAAGAATGTGTTGGCAGGTGCTCTGAATGTGAATTTCGGACTTACCCAGACGACCGTACTACTCAAGGGTGGTTGCCCTTTCTACAAGCAAGGACACAATCTGTTTCAGGGGTTCCCCCAACTAGTAGGGTCCCGGAGACAATCCGAAGCTAATCACTGTTTGACTTTTAACCTTCGCTGGTCAATTCAACAGTTAGCACGAAAGGACCAAGACAGATCAATGGCCAAAAGGGCTGGCATCCCGCCAGCTGCTGATTTTCCGCGCTGCAAATATATGGGCATAATCCAAGCTCCAAGTCTACAAGCGCATGCACATAGGTATGCATGTGTGCATACAGACCCAGAATTAGCAATTTGGCAGCCATCAAGCACGTACATGAGCTGCACGCATGTATATAGTATTATATGCAGGCCGGTTCCAAGACTCATTGAGCTGGTCATACATCAACAGTCAAGGTCATCATCTGGGAGCTGGCTTGGGTTGCTGCAGCCGGGATGAAACTTACCCATATGTGTGTTTCCTCCGGAAAAACCAGTGAAACACCAACAAGGGATTGCCCTGGCCACGCGCTTCCCGGAACTGCATCCACCTAGCGCCGGCCGGCAGGGCTCAGCCTGCAGCGAAGCCTCGGATCCGCAAGAAACAAAGGGCTCTGCGCGCAAGTGGGCTCCGCCTAGCGGAGTGCCAGGCCCCTTGGTTTCACAAGAAGTTGCCTGGGACACCTTAAGCTTACCGTTGCACGATTCTTGGCCAGTCAAGACGGAGGGGGTTTCCCATTGGTGTGGGTGGATTTTTTGCGTCTGATCGCTTGATTCTAGTTGGACAAGTGACCAGTGGAGGTTTTTTGGTTTGGGCCGGTTAGGGTTCATGTCAACGTGTCAAGGCGACTGTGTTGCAAGAATGTTCCCCAAAATATGTATGTCTATTGGGTTGGATTTTTGGACTTGTTTCTTGTTCATCGGACCCACAGAAAGAGGGGCAAACAGCAACCAAGAAGACCACTGTGCGTATGTGTTCTTTTTGTTTAGTACTGTACTTAGTTCTGTCCTGATAGAGGGATACCAGTTTCGGGGACCATTAAAAAAGACTCCCTTCTTTTGCTTTCCTTGCGCAGGCAAAAGCAAACCTGTTCTGGGAAAAATCACAATCCAAGTATGTTCAACCATCGTAGGCGTAGCTACAGGGGGGGGGAGGCAGATGGTTACCCGCGGTTCAGGGAGGTTGATGGATACACAACCCAGGTTACCCAGCTGTTTAGAGCTGTCTGCCAACACGGAACCCAGAGGTCCCATTTTGGAACCTATTCCAAGGACCCTGCGTCGAACGGTTCCATGCCCGTGGACTTAAAACGGGGTACCCGGTGTTTCCTCTTTAAACCAACATGGGTATGGGTCAAAATTACTTCACGAGGGGACCGCAGGTTTGAGTCCCTGTTTCCATCTGTCCGTTTGGGGTACCCAGTTTTGACCCACACCCAAATCAAAGCGGGCACCGAATTCCGCCGTGCCTTCCGGGACCTGGCTGCGCGGAAGCTCGCGGTCGCCTTGAGGTCTGGCAACCCCTCTGCCGTGGTCACCGTGGAAGCTCGCGCGCCGGGCCCTGAGAGAAGGAGTCAACGAATGTTGACCCCCATTAATAAACCCCTGTTTAATAATATGGTGGGATGTATCACTTTTGGAGGGGATCAGCAGGTAACAACATTTCTGGGGTCAACATTACGTCCGCGTGCTGGAGAGTTATCTTGCTGGTTCGATCGGCAGGGAATGAGAAACGGAATGATTCCGTTCAAAAGCACTTTCTCTGGTGTCCTTTAAGGGAATTCCCTTCCTGAGCAGTAGCAAGTTATTGTTATTTTGGTGGTTCCCAACTGTCCGGTTCCTCAGGGTTTGTTGGGGTCGTAGTTTAGTGGTGGTTTGCACTTAAATCCCTAAAAGTCAGACTTTCAGCCGGGGATCTGAGCCCAGTTATTAGTGTCTCATTGGCTTTTTTCATCTGATCCAGCATTTGATGGCTGTGGCTTGGGGGTTTGGGGGTTTAGGAACCTTGGGAATGAAGAAGGTGGGTCTCAATAGGGAGTTGTAACCCCTGAAAAGGGAAACTCGACTCCTGGTCATGTCCTCCCCTGAGAATGAGCAAGATAAACCATTCATGCCGTTGATGAGGTAAACATGGGTATTATTATTTTCCCGCTATGTTTTTTTTTTCCGGCACATCGGGGCATGGTGGGAACACGGGTGAATGCACCCTTGTTGATTGAGGAGAGGGTCTCATATGCGAGGCCAGCTCCTCCCACATAACCCAGGTTGATTAATCCACGCTCAACGTGACTCGAACGGGAGCTTGGCATGGTTGACCTAACCCCCGGTTTCAACATATATGCTAGAACAAGTTTTTGTTTGAAACGACCGTTGTTTGGTTTCCTTCGGAGCCAGGGTTTGGCTGCCTCAGCGAAAGTTGCCCAACCTTGGAATTCAGGGACCCCACTAGCCCCGCCACCCCGAAGACCCCCCATTTGGGTCTGTCTCTTTTTGGGGGGTCCCTTTTTGGGGATGGTCTTGGAGGGAAACCCAAAGGGAAACCGCCATTGTTGGGGTTCTCCTATTCAACCCTTTTTTGACACCCATTTGACAATGGCAGCACAGTCGCTGGAAATTGGTGGCGCTCTTATGGCGGGTTTTTAGGTGGCGTTAAGCTCTTGGGCACGCGCAAAACAGCGCATGGGTTCGCTGTGTTTCAGCTAGCCTTACCTCATTCGGATTAAATCCGGAGGATACTACTCAAAGTCCACTAGAAGAGGTCAATTTCTTACCAAACAAGGCGAACTGGAACTGATTAGCATGAGTTCAACCCCAAGCGCCACCCAAAAATCGGGGCACCTAAATCATGCCCAGGGCAAACAATAGAAGGAGCTCACTGGTTCAACTGAGCTCACCCATGAGGGTCCTTCAATAGTCAAACTCCCTATGGTCCCCTTCTCATGTTGTTTGTTTTTTTTTGGGCGGGGGAAACCACCAGCCACCTTCGCGGCCCGAGAGAAATTTCTCCCGGCTCCAAGTCAGGCAGGATGTTCCAGTGAATTTGCGAATATAATTTTAACCCAGGCGTGTGGGTGTTTTCAAGTCACGTTTCCAAGGCGTGACAAGGTGCAGGATGTCAAGACGCAGGCGTGACAAGCTGCGAGCTTTGTTGCCCCACGTTGTATCCAGCATAAGCTACACGGGCCCGAATTTGCATGGAGGGGTACTACCCGCCCATGCAAATTTGGGCCCTTGTGGGTACTCAACAATCCGAATCTGTTTGAAGAATGTTCGTCTTCAATTTGTGGGCCGCGTCCAGCCAAAATTGCTGGGGGGTTTACGTCATTTTACGTCTATGTCTGGCCGAATCTACTGAGCAAGCATCATGACATGGGGCACGCTTTGTTAGCAACTGTCCACCAAAACGCTTGCGCAGAACTGAGGCTTACGCGGAGTCCCCACGCCGCTCTAGAACCTTCCTCTGGCTCCTAACCCCGTTTGAGCAGGATTGCTCCCTCATGCGCCAGACCCAGCTGCAAAAGTTCAAACGGCGTTCTTTGGTTTCCCTGCCGGGGCCGCATTTGCAGGGGCTTTGGAGCACTGAGGGAATCCTTTTCAGGCAGGTGTTCTGTTGATGTTGTTGCATTTGTTTCAACTTTCTGTGTCAAGATGGGGCAAGTGTGCACCACGGCAGGTTTGTGGGAGCCACTTGTTTGTCGGAAAGGATGGCAACAGAATCACCGCATGAGCCACAGGCATCACAGACAGTATGTCTTAGCGTGTTTGGTGATTTTACATCGGGTCCGCAGCTTGATAGGTGTGAATTTGCGGTGGTCTAGGCAACTTTGCCGCGGACCGTCCGGCGTGGGCACGTTCCCAAAACCGCGAGCGTTGCTTGGAACTGGAAGACTGCGTGGCATGCTTGGTCCCGCGTCACTTCAAGAAGAACAAGCCCGTGGAACTTGTCCTGACCAATACTCAGTCGCCCAAAGCAGCATTTTGACCTTCTTGTTTTGCTTGTTTGCTCGATTGGTGCAGGTCCCAAACAGGTTGACCTTTTTTGTTTCTGGGTCCTTTGGGCAACTGAGAATCCACTCGTTGCCAGGCCTTTTATTTCTGAAACCCTTTTTTGGGTTTCATTTGGTTTCCCTTGCCCGCAAGCAGTTCTCACCGGGTCGCTTCGGACGCCAGGCGCACCAACAGTTGGCCATTTGGACTCGGTTCTGCAACCTTGAGCTAGAGGAGGCCGGGTGCCCGGTGGAGGGGGGAGGTTTCTGGAGCCCTTCCTTTGGCCGCGTTTGGTTTATCTCACAAAGCGATCAATCGACCGTTTTGTTTTTCCTTCTGTGGCCTCACAGAATTGAGCCCCACGCTTTTTTAAGGCCCTTTTTGCATGTTGCCCTTTGTTAATCAAGGCGCCCGCAGATGATGTTGTATTTCCAGGCCTTTCGGGCAAGTACCGCATGTACTCCAACGAGCCTTCAGCCCCGAAGGTGCTCCGATGGTGCTACGGATGAAATCGGGTGGGCGGTCAAAGACTTCACCAGACACCAAAGCAAAAGCATAAGTGAGCCAGGTAGGTTTGTGTATACCTCCTTTGCCTTTAAGAAGCCAACGCGAGGAACATATTCAGGAAGCTAGCCAATTACTCCCCAATACAAGGGATTGAGCCAACGCTCGTGACATGTGTCCCGCCTGGTTTGTTTTGACCGCTTCACAGAAAAAGAGTTCCTAACAATGAACGTGACTAGTCAAGATGTAAACGCCAGGTTCACCCAGGTTGGGTACAACCCAGGTAAGCCCTGCTTAGATCTTTTTAGGATAAACATAGCCGGCACAAAGCCTTAGAGAAAAAAGCCCAAGGCCGCTTGAAACCATGGCAAACCCTTTCAGGATATGAACTTCTACCAGCGCCCCGCCCCCGCCCCCCGCCCCCGACTGCTTCTTCCCAAGTTCAAAATCCCATGTCCCGAAAGCAGCGCTCCGTGTAAGCCGGGCTTGGGAGGCCCAGGAGCTTCCGCCGCTGAGTGCCTGCAGGCCATCGATTCTGCCGGAAGCTGGCTGAAAGGGACATAAGAAGGCCACCCATTTGTGGGCTTCACATTGGCATTTTGACGCAAACTGGGCCCTGCAGAGCACTGCAGGCGTTTTGTTTTTGTTTTTGTTTGCAAACTCGTCATGTGTTTTTTGTTTGGTTAGGGGGCCGTCCTCGCTTGGAACATCAAATCGCTTTCTCGCCTATGTGGTCGGGGAACTTGGTTTAGGACCCACCAAAGTTTTGAAATACACGGAGGGGTTCCCAAAGCGGCGCCCTGTTTCTTGCGGAAATCTGTGGTTTCCCGTGGGCAAATGGACAAATCCATTCAAGCGTGTGGATCTTTCGAAGGGGAATGCCCTCCCACCGCAGATTGGTGCACAGGCACCGTTGGAGGAAACTGATCCTCCAAAAAGGGCTTTGTGCACGTCGAGGGTTGATACAGCCCCTAGTCGCACGGGCTTATAGGGAGTTAACTGGGCTGGAGGCTGAGCAAGAGCGAGGGAGACCTGCTCGACGACCGCAAGCGCCTCTCACAATGCGACTTGAACCCAAGTCGTCTATCGGGTTCGGTCGGGCACTGTGCGTGCGCGTGCGTGCGTGCGTGGGTGGGTGGGTGCGTGGGTGGGTGGGTGGGTGCGTGGGTGGGTGGGTGGATGGGTGGGTGGGTGTGTGTGTGTGGGTGGGTGGGTGGGTGGGTGGGTGGGTGTGTGTGTGTGTGTGTGTGTGTGTGTGTGTGTTTGTTTCGACCGGTCGGAGCATTGACCCCCCTGAAAAGGGTCAGGTTGTTTTAACGAAAAACAGGGGTGTAACATCAGTTTGTTCACTTTGGTTGGACATGGAGTCCATTTGCTTCGCAGTGCCACAAAGATGTGAAACTCAAGTCAACTATCACCAGCTGCCGGGCTGTGTTTCCCAAAAGGAGTCCTTGCGCTACGAAATCAAATCCATCACCACTACGGCTCCCCCCGCAGGAAGCAAGGAAGGTTTCCTGGAGAGAATGCGGCAGTTGGCATGAGAACAGCGAATTTTACGTGCTGAGGTCGATGGTCCAACTTGTGCAGCACCTTTAACGTCCAAAATGAAATCGCTGTTTCATACTCCTGGGTTCGTTGTCGTGAGGTTTGCGTAGACTCCTTGACCGCAGTGTTTGTTGCAGTTCTGGCCTACGAATTGTTATTCCCCCCTCCCCCCCCGGGCCAAGAAAAGAGGAACGATATGTTCAAGAGGGCTGTGTCACTGACAGCTTTGGCCCCTTTCCCTGGTTTTGCCAGCAGCAAAGTGTTCACTCAGATGCCGGGCTCTCTAAACGCAGCAAAAAGGGCTTCTTGTTTGCCAATGCGTGCACAGGAAAATATGCACGCGTGGCTTCGGTTGCTCCAAATGTATTCTCCTATGTACCCCGTTTAAAGCGAATACAACTGGCATCTTCAAGATGAACACACCGGGGCTGTTTGAATAGTGAAGTCATATTTTCTACAGGCTCGTTTTTTAGGTTGGTAGGCGTCCTAGTTTAGAGTGAACATGTCATTTGGGCACAGAAACACGTCCCTCCGAGAAAAGCTGGCAGGAATTGAATCGATAAAGATGGGCTAAATAATTGCACGCATTATTCTGTGAGCATGAGGTAACTTGGCTTAACGGTGCCCTCAACAACCCCGTTCTTCAAGAACATACATAGGCCATTGTGGTACTACTTTCTTTTCGTTTGCTGTGAAATTGGGAGTACGGTCGTGGTTTAACTTCTTCTTGGAGGTAAGCAGTTGTGTTAGCAAGTTTTGAGAAGCAAACCGTTGTTTCAACAAGTTTTTGAGATGTAGCTCGTTGTTTTAGCGTTGTTTGAGAGGTAACCAGTTATCTTAGCCTGTTTTGTTCAGAATGCCATGGGAACCGCTTGAGCTTGCCTAAACGTTCGCAAGTTCTTCGGCCTCTGCCGGACCTGAGGCCGCGTGAGTAATGGAGACGAGCTTCAACTTGGGCCAAGGAGCATCGGTCTTTGAGAGAAAGGGTGGGGGGTCTTCGCTGGGATCTTCAAAGATATAGTTCTGCTTATTTTATGGCGAGCTCACCGATCCAGGGGATCCCCTAATTCGGCTTTTGGAATTATAGGAAGAACATACAGAGAGCGTAGGCTGAAACAAGTGAAACACGATCTGACAATATGTTTTTGTGTGTTGTGCCCCAGATGTGGTCGTTGCCGAATGTGTAAGTTTGAGAATAAGTTTTTGTCACTATTTGCCAATGACCATTGCATTCGGATTGAGCACTTAAAAATGACTGCGGATCATTGAGGCACTTAGTTAAGAAGGTGTTGTTTTTTTTAGATGGACTAGTTCCAGTTGGCGCGACTTCAGGTTGAGCACTTCCATTTGATAATGAACAGTGTATAGCAGCGTGGTTATATATTTATATATATATTGTGTTTTTGTTGTTGTCTTCAATGCCTAGTAACGTAGTGTCAACATCGTTCTTGAACAAGGAACAAAACTAAATCCGGGCAGGTCTTTGTGCGAAGTCGCAGGTTTGATTAGCGGTGAGGTGTTTCAAATCGGGTTGCCACGCCCTGCAACGCCCTCCGTGGAGGTAATTTCCCCAGGTGCTGGTGGTTAGAGCATGCCGGACCACTTGCTAGGACCGAGCATCCACGGAAATGTTTAGTGATTGAGCAATGTCAACATGGGATTATCCACCTTGTAGATGAGTTGCGTTTGTTTCCCCAAAACACGGGGGATTTCCCGGGAAACGGGACATGCCCAATCAACATGGAACCGGGGCTCATGATGATTGTTCATATTGCTATTAGGTTCCCATCAACCATGTATACGTCAACCATCATGGAATTGCACAAGCCAGC